AGCACTGGGTGTTATGCACAAACAATGAATCATGGAACACTTCATCTAAAACTAATGATGTAATGTATGGGGATTAACATAAGAATAAAAAAAAAAGATATAATCACAATACCAATGATCCACTTATTCCCAATTCAACAAACACTTGACAGTTTCATCCATGTGCAAGGCATTGTGTGGTTTTTGCTTTTGAGGATGAAAATATTTTCCACCAAGAAACACATGTCATAGTGTTCATTATGTCTGAAGTCACAAGATCTGAGAAGGTGGTGATGTGTGTATATAGTTAAACCTACACTAGGGCGCCTGGGTGGCTCAGTCGTTAAGCGTCTGCCTTCGGCTCAGGTCATGATCCCAGGGTCCTGGGATTAAGCCCGCATGGGGCTCCCTGCTCCGCGGGAAGCCTGCTTCTCCCTCTCCCACTCCCCCCTGCTTGTGTTCCCTCTCTCGCTGTGTCTCTGTCTGTCAAATAAATAAAATCTTTAAAAAAAAGAAAAATAAAGCTACACTAAATCTATTAGTGGGGCTTGCTTTCAAGAACTGCAGACTTCGGATTGAGCTGACCTGGTGACAGTGAACTTGAGACCTCTTCACAAGGGTTTAATATTTTCCCCTAACCTCTGGAAAGCAAGGCATGGGAAGGGGATTTAGTTTATGTCATGCCAGGACGTGTTTAAACTTGTTTCTTTTTCCAAAATGTACAAGTTGCTAAGAGAACTAGGGACTTAAATGAACAAGTCCTGGAAAAGACTTTTTTTTTTTTTTTTTTAACTGCTTGAGTCAGGGAAATTCGTTCCTTTTGGGTCATGTTCCTCCCTCCGGCCGGCCGGCCTGCCTGGTGTGCTAGGGGCGTGCTAGAGGTCAGCGGCTTCGGCAAGGAACTTGGTGCCTGGGTCTCCCGCTGCTCCAGAGACTCTCAGGCGACACTGGGCGTGTCCTCCTTTTCCGGCCTCCGAAAGTTTTGTTTTGGTTCTTAGTTCCCTGTCAAGGAAAGGCACCCTATTGACCAAAGGTTTCCCAGTCTCCGCCCGGTGGCCAGAAGCCAAATTTCCCCCATCCCAGCTAGACCAGCCTTGGTCCCTTCAAGATCCTCCAAGGCCGGGAAAGCGCGTCTTGCGTAGAGGAAGAGAGGAGGCAGCCAGGCTGCCGTATCCACTGCTGTTGGCCGGCCCTTTTCTTCGCTCATCCCTGGGCCAGTACCCATCGTACCGCAAAGGGTGCGGGCAGTCTCCTCTGTGACTCCTCAAGAACCCGGTTCTCCACCATTCCCAAGAGAATACTCAATTTGGCCGCGCCCGCGCCGGGGAGAGAGGAAGGTTACTAAAACCCAGGGATGGGACGAAGAGCGCATGCGCAACCAGGCGGTTGCGTTCAAGAGTTCGCCCCGCGGCAGCAGCCGCTAGGTGGCGCATGCGCCCTGGAGGGTACGGGCCAGTCTCCGGGAAGAAGGCGGCGGCGGCGGCGGCGGCAGCGGCGGCGGTGGGGAAAGGCGGGGGCGCCGTGGGGGCCGGGCCCGTGTTTACACAGCGGCGGGCGGGCGCGGACGCGGAACCTGGCGCGGCGGCGACAGGATGGTCATGGCGCATTTCGTCGAGAATTTTTGGGTAAGGGCAGGAAATTGGGTTTTGGGGTGTGAAGCTTTCTCCGCCTGACCTCGGCCTGTGTGCGCTCCGGGCGGCGGTGTTGGCGGCCGCGGCTTTCGGGGCCGCGGCGGCGGCGAAGGCTCCGCGATAAGGGCTAGCGTCCTCGGACCGCCGCCGGCTGGGTCCCGCCTGGATGAAGCCGGGCGGGCGCCGGGTCTCGCAGGTTCGCAGCCCCTGCGGGGGACGAGGGCTGTCAGCGCG